AAAAAAAAAAAAAAGCACCTATTACTTCTGTAATTCACACACATTCATCCAAGGCAAGTATTAGGAATCCTAATACCTAATGCTGACAAGGAAAACTGGTGCTGTTATATACTGCAAGTATGAACGTAAAATGGTACATCATCTTTTTAGAAAATAATTTAATGGTTACAAGTTATTCTTTGACCTGAAATTTCAGTAATAATTTATCCTAAGACACTAGTTGGAAAGGTAACAGCACGTAGCACAAACTGGCAAGACTATAAGTGCCCATCACATGCAACTTAATAGGATTAGTTATTATCCCCAAACTGAAAGGAATGCACAGGGGGAAGTATAGGGAATCTTGAAAACAATCTTGTTAATTCAGTTGTACTAGTTCCCAGGTTTTACAATCTGCCCCATCAAATTAAAGTGTTATTCAAAATGAGGTTTCCAGATCATACACGACCTTCAAGGGTCACTGTTGAAAGATACAAAAGGTTCAGTCTTACATTTTTTTCATTTGAGCTTTGAGATGTCAAAGGTACACCATTAAATTCTGTAAAATGTAAAGAGGCAGGCACAGGAACTTTAAAATTTATTGAACCCTATTTTTAAGATGAAATGTTTAACCTATGCCAACTGTATAGCTCTTTGATAAAATATTTTGAAATGTAATGAATGAGTACATTTCAATAGTTATGTTTTTGCAAGTCAAATAACTTGCACCCTTGTTAAAATTCTACAGGCCTTACATTTAAGGATCTAAAAAAAAATGTGAAGAGGCAGGGCCACTCTTAAGTGAATTAATTACCATGACTGCTCTACCAAGATTCATCTACAACTTTTAAAGATTTCCTTTCTTTAAAAACAAGCAGCAACAGCTTTATTTACAAATGGAAAGACATGGAAATAACCCAAATGCCCAAAAGTGGATGACTGGACTAAAAAGATGTGGTACATACAATGGAGTATTACTCAGCAACCAAAAAAAAAAAAAAAAAACACATGCCTTTTTATGCCTTTTTGCAGCAATATGGATGGAGCTGGAAAGATCATGCTTAGTGAAATAAGCCAGAAAGAAAAGGAAAAATACCTGATGGCTTCATTTATAGCAGGAGTATAACGGAGTAGGTGAGAAAATAATAATAATGAACAGCTACATACCAGAGACATTTTGCGGTGGTAGAGTGGGGAATGGGATCAAAAACAGTGGGGTGAGGGAAATACACTGGACTATGGTGATGGCACGTGGGTGATTTGGTGATGGGCCCATGGGATTACAACTGAGATGGAAAAATGCACAAAATGATGGAAAAATAAACTATTATTAAAAAAATAAAAACAAGCAGCAATAAGTATATCTTACTAAATTTAAAAATTTCTAGAGAAAAACTTGAGTTATTTAGAGAAACTGTGCAACTGGAACAAAATCCTAATTAAGACCTAATAACATCTGGGCACTATTAATCATAAGCTGATGAAAGAAAAAAAAAAAAAGTCATTTTTACTATGAATTTCCACATGGAATGTGAAAAAAATCAAAAGGTTCTTTAAATAAATTCACTTCTTGGAAGCATTTAATACCTTGGAGAAGTTGCTGCACATTTTCATTTCCCATTTGTAAGGCAGTAAAACCTTGAAGGGATATGATGTTAGGATCACACCCATAACTGAGGAGGAGGCGGCAGGTTTGCAGATGACCACAATGTGCAGCTCTGTGCAGAGAAGTCTGACCGAGATTATCCAGCGCATTAACCTTAATAATGCAGAAAAACCGGTTATTAGCCTGAATTGCAAAATTAAAAACCATTCAATCATGTATTTAACACTTACTACTAATTAAAAAATTCTAAGTTATACTCTTATGAAGCCTATTATCCAGTGTCAAACCTAGTATTTTTTGTTCAGACTGAGCATAAATCCACCAGCAAAAGACCCAATTATGTAGAAGTATGAGATTCTGATTAACAGTTGTTTATTAGCATATGGGATTCACAGATATACCTCATTTAGAAGTTGATGTTACCTGATAGTCTAATCCATGTGTTTTTATGGTTTTCTGAGGTTCAGAAATGTGGCAGCCCAAGACAAACCATAACAAAGCCAGAGCTAAATTGGCATCAAAACATTAATTTCTATTAGTTTTATCGCCTACCTTTTTTTATCATGTAAAATATAATCTGTATATAAAAACACCATGTTGTATTCAGCTAATGAAATACTTCTCAGCAATAAAAATGAACAAACTATTTTCTCAGACTGGGGCAGCATGCTATGCCACCATCCCTGTGATATTCAGTGGTGAACTTGAAAAAAAAAGGGGAAAAGAAAAAGGGAACAAATGATATTGATGAAACTCTAAAACAATACGGAAAAATGTTCACATAAGAGTGAAGACTTCACAGGCAGACAGGCCTACGAAGTGGCAAATCTATGTTGGAAACAAGTCAAAATGACTGTTACTTCTCCAGGGGTGGAGACTGTCTTGGGTGGACGGTGCTTGTCATGAGAGAACATGCTCCATCTTGCTTAAAATATATGCTCCATCTTGCTTAATTCTAACCACATTTGTGTGTGCGTGTGTATATACACACCCATTAATCAAAATTTAGTAAATGTACACTTAAAATTGTGCATTGCATTGCACGTAAATTTTATGTCCAAAGAAAAACTCTATAAACAAATACTGGCTTCTAATCAATGCCTATATGGAAACATTTCAAAGTAAGTAATTTAATGAAAAAAATAGAGAATTTGCAAATTACTTTGGGGACTATCTGAAAAAGGAACAGAGTTACTAAGATTTTCCTATTAACACCAAAAGCTGGACTATAAATAGCAAGTTTCCATACCTACAGAATCCAAAAGCTGACTTAAAATCCTATTTATTCACAAACCAACACTCACCCAAATGTGAAATACATCCAACTGGAAACATTCAGTATACCCATCTGTGTTTAGATTAGGGTGATGAACTAGTACTGGTTTATCTGATTTAGCAGATTTTAGCTCTGTGCTCTTAGAAATCCCTCAGTGATGGATAAACCTGAGTGGTTGTTCACTCTAGTCAAGATTGTTCCACAACTCAAATTTAGTAATATACCACATGTACGAAAAAAGCAACCAACTGAAAGTTATAGAACAGAGAGACAAATGAGATATGCCAAGCAGTCCAGCAGAAATAAACTTTATTTTATTCAATAAATTACAACAGGAAATACTGAGATTATACATTATCAAGAATTCCCCCAAATCAGAAAGATGTTAAAACAGGCAACATAAAGGAAATAGAATTGTAAGCACTTTCTTGAATTGAAACCCTGAGGAGAAAGATCAGAAAACTATCCTGCAGTGCACATTTAGGGAAAGGTCATAAAGGCCACTCAAGGGGTATGAAATCTCTATTTCCTTTTCACTTCATTCAGAGAGCTTCAGTCTTTATACTTTATAATGAATTTATACTAATGATATTTGCAGAAGGCAAGAATCTGTTGAATTAATGACTGTTATCGCTTTTAGTCTGAGATGTTTTGTTTATGTTACTGAGTATTTTTAAAAATCCCTGGGTAAGAAATAATTTCTTGCCTTGATAAAAACCTGATTATTTTATGAATAAAATGCTTTTGTACATAAAAAAAACTTCCCACTGTAGGGAACTTATAAAGATTTCAGTTAAATTATTTAAGTAGCACAATTCCTTCTGTTACCAGTTTGCTGGCTTAGTCACTGAAATAACAAAGGGGAAGTACTTTTTAACAGCAAAATTAACAGGTGCTATCATGGTATCTAAAGAACAGAAGATACAAGTGAGAAAAAGGTGACAAGTCAGAATGAGTATGTGATTAGTTTGAGGATATATAATGTTACAAAAAGATTTTGAATAAAATCATAGGTTTTCTAGTAAAAACTTGGATGTAAAAATTGTACCTTGCAAATTTAATTTTGGGTACAGATTATGATGAAAAAGTTAACTTATATAAGACAGTGAACAGTTTGGGATGTTGGGCTTTTCATGTACTAACTAGAAAGTAACCCTCTGTATTACCAAAGATTACCTTTGCTTCATGTTTCACCACTACTTCGACAACATCATTATGCGCTTTCTCCGATGCCACGTGCAGAGGAGTCAAGAATCTTAAAGAGAAAGTCAGCCAGACACTGAATGTATTTTCCAAAAAATAAAATGTCAATAATTTTTAATTACTGAGAATATACTTACTCTTTAGTCTTTTCATTGATGTTTGCTCCTTTTCTTAGCAACAGTTCACATATTTGCTTTCTTTTGGGATATGGAGATGCCGCAGCACAATGCTATATAATTTAAATTGTAGCATTAATCAAGGACTATATATAATTGATTTTTAAGAACATCTGTTTCTAATCAAAATAAGTCAAGATGTTATTTTACTTTGTGTTAATTTTTGACCCAACTTTGCTCTTCAAACACCTTCTATAGGGTAGAATGTGCAATGATTACCAAGTTTAGATAGGGCCAGAAATCCTATCTTGTAGGAGATATGTTATTAAAATATTCCTATCAAGCTATACAGTTGCCATTTACCTCTGAAAAAGTTACTACTGATGTGATGGAAAACTTACTGACCAAAAACTTAGTAACCAACACTCTTTTTCAAAAATGCTGCCAAGATAGCATGGGGCTTGTTGTTTTTTAAAGATTAATGAAACACCCTAAAGTTTGGATTTCCTTACATGAATAATAGCACCTATTAGCTCTGGATTCTGCTTTGTAATAGCACTGCTGGAACAGCTGAGAAGCTGAGTAGTATTCATTTCTTTCTCAACTATTTGCTTTAGCAGAACAGAGGCCGGACTAACTTTTTGACAAAAATTAGTGGCAGAAGATGATACACTCTTGAGTTGGATAATGCAGCAGCTATGTCTCTAAGAAGGAAGCAGGAATTTGAGAGTTATAAATATAGTATTTTATGGTAATTTCTCAGATCTATTTAATCCCAATATCCAGGGTGACAGTCATACACAGGAGGCGTTCATAAATGTCAGAATAAGTGAATGACCAAATCAATTCCTGTATGTTAAATTAAAACTGAATCCTCAGAATTCTTGGAATAAAAATTTTGGATAATTGTTAAGTTACTCTAAATATCTATAAATATGCAGCAACATAAATTAGTCCTGATTTTAAATTACTATTACTTTTAAAGTCTATGTGACTTTTTTCAGATTCATTCATTCTTTGGTGTTAATGCTGTACTGTCACCTAAATCACTCCTTCACTCAGTAAAATCATTATTAATTGAACATAGTTCTAGCTCCTTTGGTATACACAGGCTTTTATTTCAAGACATCTAATAGGATAGCAGAGAGAATGGAAACAATTGTTCTAAGAATTCTTGATAACGTTCATTTCAAATTGCATCCACCCCTACTCATCCCCTCTAGGAATCTTTGAACTCTTGGAAGACACTACCCCTGCACCACAATTATATACCAATACTCAAGTATGTTTTAAGTTTATTGATGAAAATAACAGAATAGTTAGGGGAAACAGTATGTGATACTAGTTTTTCAGACCAGAAACTTTTCCATGCCAATCTCTCTACATTTCTTTAAATGATATTGATGCAGTTAAGATTTTAATTGCACATTAGCATTACTGACTCATCTGAAGCTTTTCTATTTTTTATTGGGTATATTTTACAAGTAGCAAAAAGACCTAAAGTGTTTTAAAGGTATTTCTACTTAAAGTTTACAAAGTTTACATCATGGCATAAAGTAGAAGAAAATAAACTGTAAAAAATGTTATGCAAGGGTGCCATCTTTGGGGTACAAGGGGTTATCTCAGCATAATGAAGTTAGTTTGATCTCCAACTAGAGAGATGACCAACATCACCAACCAGAGATGATGCAGCAGATCTCTCCTGTCTTACCTGCTGCTCCTCTCAGCAGTGTATTACAGTCAATCTACCTGTTCTGCTCCCCACACTGTCACTGGTGAATCCACTCACCTCCCCCACCCTCTGGCCTACACCCCAGCTCTTGCATGCACAAATAAATAAATATTTTTTTTTTAAGGAAAGGTTTCTTTCCTTGGGCCCTCCCTGGTGGTGTAGTGGGTTAAAGTGCAGCACTAAGAATTGAAAGCCACTTCCGCATGAGTTCAATCCCAGGCTGCCCCAGAGGTGATCCACATTGGCGCGGCAGACCTCTCCTGACCAACCTGCTGCTCCCCTCAGCAGTGTACTTTGTCAATCTGTCTGTTCTGCTCCCCACTCTGTCTCTGGTGACTCCTCTCACCGCCCCTGCACCTCTGGCCTGTACCCCAGTTCTGTACACACAAATAAATAAATCTTTTTAAAAAAGGGAAAGCTTTCCTTAAAAAAAAAAAAAAAAAAAGTTAGGCAAGTAAATCTGCCCCTAAACACATTCATTTATTTAAGAGTCACCTTCCTTTACCCAAGCACATTCTGCAATTCACACAGCAGGATTTAACTTTTTTCCTTTTAAACTTCTGCTTAAAAGATACTCTCTGATCATATCATCCCCTTTCCTAACTTACCCTTGTTATTTTCCATTCTGGTTTGAATACTTTTCGGCAGACTGCCAGATTCTCATGTACTTTCTTACAGCTCCACAGAGCTGTAGTACCTCTACCAGGGAAGCAGCCTCTACTCACTAGATAATTTATTCACATAGTATAAAAGGGACATGTAGAGATTTTAGATCTAACTGTGAAAAAAATTACAGTATCAAGTGGTTTTTAACATATTAGGATTTTCTTTTTCATTATTCTACCGGGTTCCAAAATTTTAAATTAATAAAAGGTTACATACAATATATGCCAATATATGAATACAATTATTTTTGAAAATGTATTCAAATGAATAATAGTACTGTCTTATGGGAGGTTGAGGTCTATTTTTCTGTACAGTTTAATATTTTTTTTATATATGTGCAAGCATTAGTTTAACTCTAAAAAGCATAAATTTTTAAAACAATGCTATTACTAAACATAGTATATTTGTTATTCTATATCATCAAAATAAATACAAGATTATAATTAATGTAGCATGTTTTTAAAAAATCTGAAACATTACCAATGCTGTTTCATGAGTCTGAGGATGCTTGAAATTCACCATTTCTAAAGAGAGATGTTTTTTGATTCGTGTAACGTCAGCTTCCCGTGCAGCCTGTAGCAGTGAGTGGCCTTTAAATTCATCTAGGTGAAGACAAAGCATTTGAATCTGCATGAGAATTATCAAATGAACAGGACTTTCCTAGTAAAAGACTGTTAACATTTTTCTTGAAATTATTTTCAAAGCTATCTGATTAATGTGTTAAAGAAAGACTCCAATTATAACTCCTGAGACAGTGGTATTCTAGTTCCTCAGTTATGACTCAGCTTATCCCCAAGTGCACACACAGCAAACTTAACTCATGGCTAATTCAAGGCATATGCTGGTATGGTAGTATCTAATACTGCAATATATTCCCAGATCAGAGATCTGAAAATTTTCTAGGGAGCATTTTCACTGAAGAAAGTTTCATTGAACTTTTCTCAGTAAAGAAATAAAACAAAGGGTGATCCAAGTCCCTGCATTAGCATTATGGTAATTAAGAGTAGGTTTGTTCAAACAAGAGTAGGTTTGTTCAAACATACCAGAGAACCGGAGATACGTTGGATACAGAGAACTACATATGTTGGATAATTCCAAAGCCATCCACTTATGAACAAATGAGAACATTATCTTAAGATTCTTTTTTCCATTAGACTTGTGAAACCAACCAATAATCTTTATTATTCCAAAACAGTATAAATTTCCTATTTATGCATAGTAAGTAATACCATATCTGAACTAGATGTTATTTCTCACTACATTTATTTCAGTCATGGACATAAAGCCACAGACCTAGGTACCATCGTATATGTTAGGATGGTAAAATATGGGGACTATGTTCATAAGACAATGCTACAATAAAACTTTAATTTCACAGCAGATTAATTAAAATATCTAATCAAAGTGAGGGAAAACCCCATATTCTTTCTTTTAAAAACCCATCATTAGGGTCGTACACTGGACTATGGTGATGGCATATGGGTGATTTGGTGATGGGATGTCCACAGGGATTACAACTGAGATGGAAAAAGGCACAAAATTATGTATAAATAAAACTATTTTATATATATAAAAACAACCCATCATCTCCAAGACACATATGCATACACATACACGAAAATATATACACATTTAAAGCATATAATCTGATGCGGAAAAAAAAGATTATCTATTCTTTTCACAGCATCCTTAAAAGACTAAGTGGTAACTACCAAATGATTAAATATGCTAGTCTGAAAAATAACCATAGACACTCATGGCTAAGGAAAAATATTCTAAAAACAAATTAAAAAAAATTATGGCTATATATGGTAGCTGAATTATTTTGTACTCACATGCTAGTCTTTCTTTTAACTGTGGAGTGGGAGCCAAATCTATAGCACTTTTGTTGTGGCAATTCAGCAATGTAGGATCTGCACCATAACTTAGGAGAAGAGAACACACCTCAACCCTGTTCTTAGAAGCTGCCTCATGAAGAGGAGTAAACTGCCACAAGTCCATTGCATTTACGCAGGCACCATGCTGGTGGAGGAAAGGAGGAAACACATATTTAGCATTCAATTTTTAAGAGAATTTAGAATTACCAGTACTGTATAATTTGACATACTGCAAGCTTAAACAGGCAATGTCCCCAAAGTACACTTTTTAAACCCATTATTTCAGAAAAAGAGTAGTTTCTTTTCCTCATGGAAAAACATGAAAAGGTTGTGAGGTCAAGGGCCTACTTAATTCTTTTATTGTTAAAAAGCAGTTAGGAATACAGCTTTACATTTAGCCTACATGTTTTTCCAAGAATTTTTCCTTTTTGAGGTATACCTACACATGATAAAATGCAGTTGTCAAGTTTGATGAGGTGTTTTTTTAAAAAATTTAAATTTAGTTTTGTGTAAAACGACGGGGGTGCAGGCCAGAGGCGGGGATGGGGTTAAGAGGATTCACCAGAGACAGAGAGGGGAGTAGCAGGTGGGTCAGAAGAGGTCTGCTGCATGAATCTGCCTGGCAGGAGATTGAACTCCTGCTGCAGTGGCTTCGGATAGCTTCACAGTACTGTGCATTAACCCGCTGCGTCACCAAGGAGGACCCAACGGTATATACGTTTGTGTTTAGCTTTTTTCACAATGCTTTATGAGATTCACTCATGATGCTATATGAAGTTTTTATTGTTAAGTGGCACTATATGGCATAGATTATATAGAAATGTCATTATCCTGTTGATAGATATTTAATTTTCTTAATGTCATTATCCTGTTGATAGATATTTAATTTTCTTAAGTGTCTTTATTATCTTTGCACTGTCATAATCAATGTCTTGAGCTCTGGAGTGCCACCTCCTTGTTAAAACTTAATACTGTCATCTTTTCAATTGTAGTTTAATAAGTATTACAGTTAAACAAATTGCACAAGCTGTATTTCAACTTTCCATCAACAGAAATTCCACACATAGCATTCCTGTAAACAGAACTAGTTTTTGAGAATGTTCAACAATGGGAAACTATCAACCAACATGGCTTTGTAACTATCAGGTAAGTCTTGTTTCTAGGAAGTTCTCTATTGAAAGTGTACTTTTAACTTTGATCTATTGGTCTTTGGAGCAAAAGTGATTAATAAATAGTCTTTACTCATTTGAAGGTAATTTGTTTTTCTTTTTGAGCCTAAACACCTTCAGTCCTTCACTCATCCTTCACATCAGATGCTTTCTCATCCTACTGGCCCTAATTAAATATACTTTAGTTTAAAAAAATAATTAAAGAAACACTGACAGCCTAGAGTAACAACAGACTCCCAAGGCAGTTTGAGCAAAGTGCACTGCATCCCTGTTGCTCTTGTCACTGTACTGGCATACAGTCATGTAAGTTTTTCAAGTCGTCACATCACAATTGTACAGTGTTCTGATCATAAAAAGCAGTTATTGTAGTTTCTGTCAAATGCCAGATTCTGCTACTAGACTCTTTAAGCAAGTGTTGCCAACTGGCTCGGTGTTGCCTCAGTATTTTGCCTGTATTCTCAGTTCTGATCTATTTGCTTTATCCTGATTCTCCTTAACTTGAGAGTAACTGCACCCTCACCTTGGCTAAGTTCCTACTTATGTGTCAACTCCAGGCAGCCTCCCATTGTTACGTTAGTGAACACTAGGTATTAGGAAACCACCACTCAGTATTAAGTCCCAATGAAATCTGTCTAATGGTTCAATCTCATCCTCAATAACATTCCAAATTTTTAATCTTTAAAATCTTATGGTTATCTCAAAGACTCAAAAAAAAAAAAATCAGCTGCTAATCTATCAATTACATACATTTTAATAATGATTATAAATATGCCTTCTATGGCCACCAAAACTAAAAATATACAGAAATACTAAAAATTGTTATGCTATATATTTCAAGTAGTGTTACTAAGAAAAACAGAAAAAGAACTAACCTTGACCAGAAGTTCAGTTACTTCATAATGACCGTAAGAACAGGCATTGTGTAATGGCACCAGATCACTATGATATGAGCAGTGAGGAAAAGTATATTATTAGATTCCTTAGGCCTATTAATTTAAATCTCATTAACTTTTATACTTAAATTTAACAGTAAATGGCTTACATAGCCTTCTAATAAAAATATAAAATTTTATAATATCCATTTGAATCCCAATTCTCAACATCGATAACTCCCAAAAGTCTTCTTTTTTTTTAAGATTTTTATTTATGTATGCATACAAGAACTGGGGTGTAAGCCAGAGGTGTGGAGGCAGTGAGGATTCACTAGAGACAGAGTGAAGAGCAGCAGACAGACCCACACAAATACACTGCTGAGGGGGAAGAGTGGGTGAGACCAGCGAGGTCTGTTGTGCCATGTGGGTCAGCTCCCTGACTGGGGATGGAATTCATGCTACAGTGACTAGTAATAGCTTGACAGGGCTGATACTTTGTGCCACCAGGGGGAGCCCACCCCCAAATTTTTTTCAACCCATCTTTTCCCTTTACTTAGTTTGGGCCTGTGTTATCTCTCTCTCTCTACTACTGAAATAGGACACCCTCTTCAATTTATCCCCTCAGTGTCATTATATTTGTCTAAATGGTAAACCTGATACAATTATTCCTTTTTTAAACCCCTTCAATGGTTTTTCCTTGATTTCAAAAGACAGTTCCAACTGCTTTGCCTGACATACAGTAGTAAGTTCCTCTCTACCCTTACACTTCAGTGACACTAAACAAAAACAACTGCAGTTCTCCATATGCCTCCACATACAATTCCCTGCTGTGGGAAAATTTCCTTCCCTTTTGCAGCCTTGTTCACTTTAAAAAAAAAAAAAAGATTTATCTATCTATGCATATAAGAACTGGGGATAGGCCAGAGGTGGGGGGGGAGGGTTTAAAGGATTCACCAGAGACAGAGTGGGGAGCAAAACAGGTAGGAGTACTGAAAACATACTGCTGAGGTGAGCAGCTGCTGGGCCAGAGAGGGGACCCACAGGAGGTCTTCCATGGGCGCCCCTCTCTGGCCAGGCCTCAAACTCGTGCTGCAGTGGTTGTGGATAGCTTCATAGTGCTGTACATTAACCCACTGCACCGCCAGGGAGGGCCTCCTTGCTCACTTCTATACATATTTCTAAAGTCAGGGTTCCATCACTATCCTGCTTTTGGGGAAAAAAATTGCAAAGCTGTACACTGCTATATTCCTTAAGAAACTAAAACCCAATTCCTTTATTATGGCACCTGAAGAAAAACTTTCTTCATAGGAAACTACAGTGGAATCTTAAAGATATCTTTAAGTTGTTCTTCCTCAGTGTTAGTTACTAAAAGTGTAATCAGTGCTTTATCTCAAATTAATTTTCCCTCCTGGATTAGTATATCAAGGGGTCTCTCACTCATTTGGCTTTAGAATTTGAAATGTAGTGATATTTTTGTTCCTTTCACTCTCTTATCACTCCTATAGTCAATAAGTCTTACCCATTGCTGCATTTTAAAATTTCTTGCACTCAGGTCTTCCCCTGCACTACTAAAGATCTTCACTAAGTCTGAGCCCCATGCAACATTTACTCTCCTAACTTTTTTAGGATCTACTATACAAAGTATTGCCAGAAGGTGCCTACTAACCACATTCCTTTTAGAAGATTATAACTCCCCTTGCTTAAGATTCTCCAATGGCTACCATGGCTCACACATGACTCAGAATACTAAGTCCTCTGAAATCTGGTTCTTACCAATCCTAGTATAACCAATCCTAGCCTTTACTCTCCCTTATGTAAAACACCTATATCAGTCAAGCTGGTGTTTAAAAAAAGCTGCAAAATGTACTTAATTTCTTCACATGCTGTGTTGTCCTTAAGTTCCAAAATGTTTTCTCTGCTTTCCTGGTCACTGAGTTCAGATCAAGTATCATCTGTTCTTGAAACATTTCCCAATCACTTCAATCATTACTTAAGAGTTAATTACCTCCTAGGAACTCCTTTGGTACTATCCCTCTCTATTTATCACCTTACATTTACTAGAGACTTGACAGGTATCTCCTTATGACCCCTAAAATGCACAAAAAGTCTTATGAATAGTGTCCTTAGTTCCTTATGTCTCCAGAGTAATATCTATATTGAAAAAGCATGTCATTTAGTAAAATAAAAAAAATATCATTTTTATAAGATTAGAGTTTAATGTAAGAACAGTTAACATTTAAGAAATGCTCATTTTTGATTAAATGCTTACTTACCCTTTATCTTTAGCATGGACATCAGCTCCATGTTGCAATAGTAGCTGCACAATTTTTACTCTGTTGTATCCTGCTGCCAAATGCAATGGAGTTGACTGAAATATTAACGAGACAAATTAATGAAATTTAAAAGACTAAAAATAAAAGTACACAAAAAGGTAAAAATCCAAATCTATATATATATATAAAAACCACTTGGAAAAAACTTTGTAATTTCACTGTCTAAATAGTTGTTTCTTTCACAAAATTCAATATATATATATAAATTGAAGATATGATGTAAAATATAGTGGTTAATGATGTGAAACATAGTGGTTAAATACCACAAATAGAAAGTATACACTTAAACATTACTGTCAATGAAATTATACTAAACTTTTAAAGAATTAATCCAAATTACTGCTTACAGAAATGTAAGTATCCTCATCAAATGTTTTAACTTGTATGAGAAACACATTTTCATGTCACCAGGAAATGAACACAAACTTAATTGCAAAGTTAGTACCTTTCTGCCATCACTTGCGTGACAGTTGACATTTAAAGGTGTAAGCAGAGCCATCATTTTTTCCTCGTTGCCACTCCTAGCACACACAAAAAATGTATTAACAATCTGCATTCTTTGCTGGCTTTTATCTGAAGACATGTATGTGACCACTAAAAAAAAAATTTCACTTTTGAAATAAGTCAAGAGTGAAAAAGAAAAATAATGGATGGTTTCACTTATAGGAGGAATATAGGGGAACCAAACAAGGGATCAGGGGAAAAAGAAATTAACAACAAAAAAAATTGGCAGGTAACTATAAATCAGAAACATTCTGCAGTGGAGAGGGAGGAGAAGGATCGAACAAGCACAGGGGACCATGGTGATGGTGCAGGGTGAACTGACAGTGGAAATGCTATGGGGAGGCAGCAAATATTGCACAAAAATGATATAAAAAATATAAAAATAAATTATAATTAAAAACTTTCATTTTAAGTTCAATTATTGAACAAATAAATGGTTAAATATTTATGGTACAGACTTGTTAACCCTAGTACACACCTGGCACTTTCCAAGAGTTCATCTTTCTTATATTCTCCTGGGAATTAGAAAAAAAATGAACAGAAATTAAAAAATTTATTTATACATTGACAATTTTATGCATAAAGATGCTTACTAACCTACATTTAAAATATGCAAATGTGGAAAAAATTCCAATGAAAAGAAAATGTTTAATTAACAGATTCCTGTGCAGTTAAAAATAGTTTTCTGAAGAAAAAAGCGAAAAAAGGATTCAAAGCGAAAAAAGGATTCAAAGTCATATAATGAAGTGTTATCCCAATTATTAGAAAGCTATATACACACACAAGAAAGTGAAGTCAAGAAAGAAATACACCAAAATTCAAACCAACTTTATCTTGGGCTATGGTTATAGGTGTGCTTTTCCCTTTCTTCTCAAATTTCCTAAAACCAGTATGTTATATTTATAATAGACAAAATGCATCCCTAACTTCATTCAAAATTAAAACACTACCCACTATATCAACACTGCAAAAATGGCATTCTACAACCTATCAATGAACAGATATTAAACGTTTTTATAAATATGGTATTTTCAAACCGAATAGTTTTATTATGATACTTCAAATGCATACGAATAAAAACAGTATTAAAATATAAATTCTCTGTTTATAGCTCTTGTGTTCACAAGTTAATGCAAACTATAAATTAAATATAATTTAAATCAACATAATATATAGCTCACTGATTTGCTGAAAGGATACCCAAACCTGCTACCCACAATACGACCATGTACTGATTAGTAGTGCAAAGTTTCTTTTGAGCTTAAAGATATTTTTAGAATGATGAAAGCAGTGAATGACATGGAAAAATGAAGGAAGAAATGAACACAGAACCATGGTTATAGTAAAGTTCACTTTTCTGGAATCTACGAGAACAGCAAAAAGTCCAAGCAAAAAAGCTCATGGCAGAACCCTTCAGGATCCTGACTATTAGATTAGACATAATTCTAATGGTGATCACATACCAGATAAAAATCCAGAAAATAATATGGCGGAGAGTTGTTGCTTAAGAGGAAACACTTAAAGGAGAAAATAGGGCAAGTAAGTGTTACAACTCAAAATGCTTGACAGTCTAAAATGAACCTAGCAACCACAGCCTTGTAACTTTTAATAGATTTTAAGGAAATGATATGTACAATAATTTGTACAATTCATGGCACCAAAACTGGTATGCTCAGAATTCTGTTTAGAATTTTTGAAAGGATTTCTGTTTAGATTTTTGAAAGGATTTCATTGAAAAAAAAAAAAAGCTAAAAAAAATTTAAAAGAGAGAATAGTATATACAAAGGGGTAAAAATACAAGTTATCTGAAAAATTAAAATATTTCATCAAAAAAATCCTGGACACATGATAGTAACACAAAATTATCTATTGCTTTTGTCCCACAAATATAGTAATCACTAATTTACCCAATGTAAAGGTGGCTGGGGTGGGGGAAAGAAAAAAAAATTTACCTCTCTCAGTTAAGAATCAAGTGACAATTGTCCAGATATAGGAAAGAAAAGCAACTGAACTGATACTTACAAAAAGCTAGCTAAGATCATTAACTGCAGGATGTTCTCTGTCTACCTAGCAAACTTATACTTTATATTCTTCTTAGACTACCTAAAGAGTATGTAGACTTACCGGTCAGCACTGCTTTGGCAGATGGGTCTGCTAAATCCAATGCTGTTCTTCCATCTGTATTTCGAATGGTTGGCTCAGCTCCATGTTGCAAGAGCACTGCAAAATAGCAACACTATTTTTCTAAACGTAATCACCTTAAAAGTTCTGACTCAGAAGTTTCAATTGTTTCAAAACCTTTCATATCCTAATAGTACAGCAAATGTATGTTTAAGATAGCACTATATGTAGCATTCCATTTCTTTCTATTTTTTTTTAAAGATTTATTTCTGCATACAAGAACTGGGGTGCAGGCCAGAGGTGTGGGGACAGGTGGGGGATTCCAGGAGAAGATTCACAGAGTGGGGTGAAAAGCAGGTATGTACTGAAATACACTGCTGAGGGGAGCATCAGGGAGACAGGAGAGTCTGCCACACCATGTGGGTCACCTCCCTGACTGGGGATTGGACTTGTGTTGCAGCAGCTGCAATAGCTTCATAGTGCTGCACTTTAACCCATTGTGCCACCAGGGAGGGTCCAACATTTTGAATGCATTAGATTGTTCCATAAAATTTATATAAAGATTGGCCCTCCATGGTGGCGAAGCGGGTTAAAGCACAGCACTGAGAATCTGAAGCCACTTCCGCATGAGTTCGATTCCTGCCTCCCGCCTGCCGCCTGCCCCGGAGGAGACCACATGGCGAGCCAGACCTCTCCTGACCCGCCTGCTGCTTCCCTCAGCAGTGTACTTCGTCGATCTGCCTGTTCTGCTCCCCACTCTGTCTCTGGTGAAGCCTCTCACCGCCCCTGAGCCTCTGGCCTGTACCCCAGTTCTGTATGCACAAATAAATAAATAAATCTTAAAAAAAAAAATTATATAAAGATTTGGGATGCCCAGGAATAGGGACCTATTCAAACACACACACAGGTCTCAAGATAAATTCTTGAAAGAAATAAAAAGAGAATCCTCTCTATAGGGTTAATAAGCCCCAAACAAAAACTGCTACTTTATAAACCAAAGCTCACAAGAAGACTTGTGCTATACTCTGTATAAAGATATTTTAGCAAACTCTATAAATACAAAGCTGTGGGAAGGAGCTATTGAAGATAGAAAGCAAGTCTAGTTCTAATTCTTTGGTAAGGTTCATGTTCATTCCACTTTATTCTTATCTGTAACAGTTCCGTTCAATAGAAATAAAATGTGAGTCACATAGGTACTTTAAAATTTTCTAGTGGCCACATTAGAAAGAAAAAATAGGATAAACTAACTTTAACACATTTTATTTAACACAACACACAAAATGTCATTCAACATTTAGATTTATATCATAATTAATATAAAATTAATAAGATGTATCACATGCCTTTTTTTCATACTGTCTTTGAAATCTGGTACATATTTTCCCCTTATAGCATCTCAACTCAGTCCTCAGTTACCATAACAGGCAGTGCAGAACTACCTATCTAGAAAACTCTACATATAAAAGCCAATTATTTTTGTGTCTGAGACTCAGATATCAATCAACAAAGGCAGTAGCAATTTAAGATAGCACACAGGAAAAGACAACTTTGCAGCAGTTATCAGGTAATCCATTTGAATCTCTACAAATTACAATTACACAATGGAACCTGCTGTGTAAATGGATTCACCCCTTCCCAACCTTATACTGAAAGGACATTATCTAAGGAGCTGCTGTACTCTATCCTCCTAATGAGTGCAGTAGACTCTAAATAGTGTTTAAATCACCAAATGTTCTTAAATGCTGTCCGGAGGAATCTGATCACATTAACAAATACTTCAATACAGATTCAGAATAGTTAAGACTATTTAGGAAAATTCTGGAAAGCAAATAGTCTTACCAATGCACACATCAATCTTTCCTTTAATTGCAGCTTCATGGAGAGGAGTATAATTCCAATTATCACGAGCATTTGGGTCTGCACCATGTCGCAAGAGGAGATTGACTACTTCAGCATGACCAAAAGAACATGCATTATGAAGAGGAATAAGCCCTCCATCATCACGTGCTTGGACATTTGCACCATTCTGAAGCAAATATTCAACCACATCTTTCCGCCCAAAACCTGGAAGAAAACAAATCATCCATATTTAAATTCTCCACAGAAAATATATCAAACTATAATCAATAAATACAAGCATACTACAAAGTTTTGGAGTGGGGAGAAAACACACACACACACACACACACACACACAATTCACTACTGAAAAGGTGGTCTGAATTATAACACTAATCTTGATGAGAAGATCAATGGGTTTTTTGCCACCTTTTTTTAAAGATTTATTTATTTATACATATAGAACTGGGGTACAGATCAGAGGTAGGTGTGTGTGTGCATGTGTGAGGGGGTGAAAGGATTCACCAGAGGCAGAACAGGTAGACTGACTGAAATATACTGCTGAGGAGAGCAGGAGGCAAAGCAGGAGAGGTCTGCCATGCCATGTGGGTCACTTCCCTGGCAGGGAATTAAACTTATGCTGAAGCAGCTTTAGCTTTGTAGTGCTGCACTTTAACCCACAGCACCAAAGAAGGCTGTGGTATTGCTACTTTTAAATAAACTTAAAAAAAAAAATTTTTTTTTTAACAGCTAAGTGTGAAACCAGAGAAGGAATAAAACGAGAAAGTAATAGTATAATTGTTTGAAGGTACATGCCTAGGGCTGCCCTGATTATAGCTGATGAGGCATTAGATGGTTGAAAAGATTAAGCACACTCTTAATTAGTTTATTTTAATACTGCTGGGCTCTGTGTTACAAAGATGAACATCTTTGATTCTGTCTACTTAAAGAGCTCACAATTTAAGATGTGAAGAACAAATGAGAACCAATGATAGAATGTAATTGCTATAATAAGTATGTAAAATGCTGAGAGTTCATAGAAGAAAGTACCTAAATGGGTAAAAGCAGAAAGTAGGAAGGACTATCCCAGAGATTTGGGTGATGGCATCTGAGCTGAAAGTTTATTTAGAAAGGGACCATGCGCCCTGGTGGTGCAACTGGTTAAAACATAGCACTAAAAAGCTACTGGAAGTCACTGTGGCACAAGTTTGATCCCTGGCCAGGAAGGTAAAAAAGGTCTGTGGCAGACCTTTCCTTTCCTGTTCTGCCTGCTGTTCCCCTCAGTGGTGTATTTCAGTCAATCTGCCTGTTGTTTCCCACTGACTCTGGTAAACCCTCTCACCCCCACACCTCTGGCTCATACCCCAATTCCTGAATACACACACACACACACACACACACACACACACACACACATATTTAAAAAGGATCATTAAGAGAATGATTAAGGGGATTGGGGAAAGATCTGAGCAAGGAAAGAGTACTGACACCCCCAGAATAAAGGAACACAGGTAGAGAGGTATGAGTCTTATCATTCACAATCACCAGCATGCAGAATGCCAAAGTAGGTACTTGCCAGATCAGGAAGAATCTAACGTATCATGCTAAGGTGGCACCTAGACCTTATCGTTTAGACCAGTGTTGTTTTTTAAATATTTATTTATTTAAGCATACAGAGCTGGGGTACAGGTCAGGGGTGCAGGGGCGGTGAGAGGATTCACCAGAGACAAAGTGGGAGGCAGAACACGCAGATCAACTGATGAGGAGAGCAACAGACTGGTGAGGAGAGCAACAGACTGGTGAGGAGAGCAACAGACGGGTCAGGAGAGGTCTGCTGAACCATGTAGATCACCTCGGGGGCAGGTTCTGAACTCATGCTTAAGTGACCTTAGCTTCTTAGTGCTCTGTTTTAACCCGCTGCGCCACCAGGAAGGGCCCTAGACCCGTGTTTTCCAAACTGTTTTCAAGCAGCTGATTTTAAAGAAATCTTATGTAAAATTCCAATATGCCATATTCACTGCTAAATACTCAATGTCTGGTTTGTAATTGGCATTCATAACTACAAATTAATGAATTTGATTTAATGAAGTAAAACTATTCAGGTTGAATCTTCCTCACCCTCAAAAGAAAATACTGCTTTATCCTTAAGGCACCTTTTAGAAACAGTATGAAAAATACTGCTAAAAGTTATCATCAGTTAATGAAGGACATAAACACTGATGAAAAACACTGTTATGCATTAACAACAAGATCATATAAATTGTATAGTACCTAATTTATTGGGTGGAAGTAATCATAATCTAACTAGTTTAATGGTTAGGTTTCCTGAATCTTTTGCTACTGCACATGTTGCCCAGGGTAACTACAGAGAGACAGAGAGAGAAAGAGAAAATCCAATGTCTGGCAACTTCTTTAATTTGGGGAAAGGAGAGAAAAGGGGGTAACTCAGATTTCTAAGATACAAAATAACAGGTGCATTTGAAGGATAAAATTTGTTTTTGGAACAGCTTAATCTGAGGTACTGTGGGACACATATATTGTAAGGAAAGGGTTCTGTGGATCTTGACTCAAGACAACAATATAAATTGGAAACTGACACTTTGAAGTCAACCATAAAGATATTATCTGAAGTCATGCACAAAAATGAAGTGGATTAGAGAGCACTAGTTTTCTACCTATTTTGCTCAAAGTGTGTACTTTGTTTTTTTTTTAAAAAAAGATTCATTTGTTCATACAGAACTGGAGTACAGGCCAGAGACTCAGGGGCGGCGAGAGGATTCACCAGAGACAGAGTGGGGAGCAGAACAAGCAGATCTACGAAGTACACTGCTGAGGGGAGCAGCGGGCGGGTCAGGAGAGGTCTGTCACACATTGTGGTCACCTCAGTGGCTTTAGCTTCTTAGTGCTGTGCTTTAACCTGCTGCGCCACCAGGGAGGGCCTCAAAGTGTGTACTTCTTATCAAAACGCAATCCCATGTCACCTTGCTGATCTTCCTCATCTTTTCAAGGTAGTTGTTTGCCACTTCCCTCTTGGCTCCCCCTCTTTACCAGATCATTCTTATCAGTATGTAAACATGTTTCAATATCTTCCATTTTATAAAAAATACTCCTCCCACAACCCATTTTCCCATTTCTTTCCCATTTCCCAAATAACCAAATCTCTAACAGTTGTGGTCAATTCTTTTATCTTCTACCCACTCTCCTTCCAAATTCAAGCTAGTTTCTGTTTCTTGCTTCCAACTGTTTTCATCAAGGTCTCTT